TAGCAACCGAACTGATAACTGCTTGTGGCCAGGTGCTGTGATGGCTTGCTAGCTGCCACCGCGGGATGCTGAAGGACCGGGAGACCATGGGGGTTACGACCGCCAGTCCCTGCCCCAGCGCCGAGGCGGCCGTGTGCGACGGATGCGGAGGCCGTATCACGGATCGCTACTACCTGGTGACCGTCGACCGACAGTGGCACTCGGCCTGCCTGAAATGCTGCGAGTGCAAATTGCCTCTGGACTCCCAGGTCTCCTGCTTCGTCAAGGATGGCAACATCTACTGTAAGGAGGACTTTTACAGGTACAGTTCACTGTACACTTTACACAGTAATACTGAAGATTGTCTATGTTGTGGGCTTTACGATAAACTTTACCGCGACTCACGAACAAAAATATGCAGAAAAGTATTGGCTGAAAGCACAGCTGTCTTCTGGGTTGTTGCACTCTGTGTATTCTGGTAGAAGTTTATCGACGATTCTGAGGTCCTTGCTGCCTCCAGAAGATAAATTAATATCTCACAATATATTTCGGTGATTGTATTCCTGACAGAAATTTACTCTCGAATTGTTAAATAAAAAGTTCCCTCACATTCAATCATTAAAAGAAGGTGCCAGGCTGCATCTTTATTTAAACACAGTCTTAATCAGTTGTGTTCCAAACATACGACATACATACTGGTACTTTAAATAGACCTACGCTATTTAGTCACACAATTCTCCTCATAATGACTGATGATAATTTTAGTATTCATATTACAGTAGTGCGTTACTTTAAACCAAGATGTAGGATAGTCTATCGCTCCTAAAGCCTGTATTTTTCTTCAGATGAAGCTCAGATATTTGGGTAAGACAGTGACAAATGTAAATTGCATTGACGAACAAATAACGAGCAGACTAAATTTGTGGAGAGCTTGCTGCTATGCAGTTCCAGAATATTCTGTCCTTACGTCTGCTACAGAGTTATATAAACGCAAAGATTAATATGTACAAAAGTACAGTGTTGCGTTAAGGCATAAAGTTACAGGAGGGTTTAGAAAATATCTTAATGAAGGGTACCATAATCTATACTCTTCACCAAATATTAGGGTAATGAATCAAGGAGGGTTAAGATGAGGGCATGTACAGGGAAGATGACAAATGCGTAGGGAATTTTGGTTTCAAATCCTGAAGGTAGAGGTCTCTGGAAAGGTCTAGTAGTAGATGGGATGATAATATTAAAATGTATCTTATGAAAATAGTTTGAGTTTGTGAGTTTGATTGATCTGATTCAGGATAGGGGATAGGAACCAGTAGCAGGCTAGGTCTAGAATTAAATCCAAATTAAAAAATATATAATTTTTTTTAAAAATAGTAATAGAAATGTTGTGTATACGATAATGAACCTTGGGATTCCATAAATTATATGGGATTTCTTGGCTTACTGAACATATTATTAGCTTTTCGAGGATTCTGGTCCATGTGTTTCGTTACTTTAGACCTCTATCAATGTATTCCCTGTGAACTAACTATAGCAGATCAAAGGACTTCAGGTCATTCCAGTCACGCATTCAAATCTTTAGTACCAGAAACCATTTTTAAGATAGAGCGAGAGACAGCTTTGAGACACATGCACTGGCTGTGATGGGGAGAAGGACAGAGCACAACAGATAAGAGTCCGCCATCCATATAATGATCGTAATAATTCATTTTCCTGAAGATGGCTGTGTTCTGGGCTGTTGCGCATGTTATATGGTATAAATGTATCGACGTTTCAAAGGTGGTTGCTGCTACTGTTATCAGGACGAAACAACAAAGAACACAGCCTTCTTCTTATTCTCCACTGTTGAGAACATGAAATCTTACAATTTATTTCTGAATTATTTTTTACATTTCAAAACGTGGTTTATCATTCTGAGGATAGAAAAAAGACTCATTTTAAATACAGTGAGAATAAAAATATACACCCTGATAGGCCCTATTGGAGATGAACTATGTTAATTAATGTATGTAGTCTTAATGTTGGAAGTTTTTTAAAAAAATATGTGCAATGTTGAAAATTTGATTGTAAGAGAAACAAAAACAGTCAAGCAAAGTTAAGTTCGCGCATCCGTGAGATGGCCTGAAAAGTCTAAACACGCCCACGATAAAATAACAATGATCTGTGTTGGCGGACGCCACTGTGATTGAAACTTTAGTCTAAGTAGTTACAGAACGCATAAAGTACATAACAAGGATTGTTATGATTCACGTAACTTTGTCAGGGAAATTACACACCACGGACTAGATACTGTGGAGAAATGTTTATAAAAAAAATAGATTGTGATAGCCTAGATGAGCATCAAAGTCGAAATTTATGCAAGCTACTTAAAGTCTTTAAGTTACACTTGCATATAATTAATAACTGACTATAAAATTCCTTCTTTCAACTTATAAGTTTTTTAAATTGGCCACTTGTTCTGAGATACGAAAGTAAATGAAAAACTAAGCTGGGCCAAACTGGAATCAAAGTTTCATGGGACTGTAAACCAGAGGACACTAGAAATCGCAATGAATTCCATGCTTTGGAACGTGTTCTTTACACTTTGTTAGCCTGTGAAGTGATGAAATGGGTCGAGATGGAGAAGGAGGAAATGCACACAAAATTTTGATTTCTATTACTATCATTGTCTCTACCTTATGCACGTAGAGCCTGATTCACACCATTACAGTATACTTCCGTCATGATAACAGTCATTAAATATAATTCAAAACATTTTATGTAATACATATGTAAGTATGTACATAAGTAAATTGGCATATGTTGAATGCAAGATACTTAGTACATCCTGTACAGAAGCCATTTTAACACTAAATACCAATTATAAGCAAACAGTAGGAAGGAGATATGGTGTGGAAAACTACGGTAATTACAATGATTATCATAACTAGCACGAAAACAGTGGCTGGGCGTACAAAAAATAACGAGAAGTTTTGTAAGTAATTAGGCTTCCAGTAATTAAAAAGTTTAAAATTGTCAGAGAGCGAAATGATCTTTAGTTAAAAGTTAAACGTCAGATTACGTTAGGGACAGAGACAAATCTAGCTGATGGACGTGACAAAGTAGAAGAGACAAATCTAGCTGATGGACGTGACGAAGTAGATTACGCACAGAGTGGCTTATAATTATCCTTTAGGCATCCATATACTAATTAAAAGGGCCCAGAATGCAAGAGTAACTAATTTAAAACAATAATATTGTACAGACTATCGAGATGAATCTTCGAATGATTAAATCGAACTAAAATACCTTTCTCTTTACTATCTGGTATGTTTTAAAATCTGATATGGCATAAGTCTGAGATATTTCTTTGGGTTATTTCAATTTGTAGCAAACCCGTCAGCGTTTCAGAGTTTGAGTTCTGAAAGTAATGGCACCAGACATTTTTAAACCTTAACAACATGTGTAGTCATTATGATGGCACATTGGGAAAGCGATACAAGATTATTACATACGCTGTAATTAAAATTAAAACTAGAGAAATACCGTGATTACGCTGTCACATTCACTGATAAAAATGAAAGTGTACAGTAGGCAGAAATTAAGCCTTTAAGAACCTTGGTGCGATTCACGATAACCAATATTTTTAAATGTATTATTTTTTTGTAATTTATACTATTTTAAAACAATAAATATAATTCTCCTCAACACGGTTTCCGAAAATATATTCCACTTCTGTGATATGTCGCTGGACGCATGACGAAATTAGTTACTGGCTACACTTATGCGGACGTCCGGCAGTGTAGTGCAGTAGAAGTTTACCGACGTTTCAGGAGCTACAACTCAGAAAACAGTCATCTTCATAATCGTCGCTCTGTGAACCTTAAATATAAATTCATTAAAGTATCTCTACAAAGTGTTTTGCTTATATGAACTAATAGGTATGTTTCTATTAGCCTCCGCTAGCGTGTGCTGGCGCACCCAGGTGTCAGCAGGGAACTGCTTGCCTGTCCAGCCGTCTAATCGAGTAAACGCAATGATCAAACTGCATGATGATCCAGAAGCGATTTCTGACGTCAAAGTCTAACGATTAATAGCAAAGTCATTGTTAGTCATTGCTTGGGCAAGGCAATGCAGAATGTTCCGATGGTTACTGATCTTCAAATGCACAACTTTTATAGGTCTAACCGCAGTGCCCTTAATTAAACGTCATTTATGTGAATCTCGAAATCTCTGTACGGTCACATACAGACTACTTAGTATCTCATATATTTATTTATTTATTTCTGATTTTTTCGACAAATCGCACTAGTTGCTACGTTAGAGTGTGAAAGTTGTCGGCTTCTCATTCTGATTTTTAAAAGTTGACGAAGATAATAATTTCTCTGTCATAATTAAGGCAATATTAGTTCAATTTTATAAGTTTTAAATTTTCCGCTTGATTTTATATTATAAGATATTCGAAATGTGAGGAAACCTGAACGAAAGAGAACATTTGGTAGACACAGAAGAAGATTTGAGGATGTTATTAAAATTTATTTTCAAGAATTGAGACTGAGGGGGTGAAATGGATTTAACTGGCTCGGTGTAGGTTCCAGTGGCGTGTTCTTTTGAAGACGACGACAATGAACATTCCTGTTTCTTAAATGTTGCGATTTTCTTTGCCAGTTAAGCAACTTAAATTCCTCTAGGGCTCGCTTTAATGCAGTTGGTTATAAATACGAATTAGGCCTGTACTTGTAATTAATATCCGCGTGCTTAAGAGTGTTTCTCGGGGTTTTCCTTCGCAGAGATGCTTTTCGTTTGGAAAGAACGTTTACTACTAGGTTACATGTTTATTGGCGTGTGGTTGTTGTCATCATTACCACCCATCAACATCGCTGTTTTTACTTTCATATACCGTGTTAGAGCCCGACTTCCGTGTCTGCTGTGCGTGTTACATTTTGTTCTATCAGAGCACGGTCTGCCGTTTGACACAAGAGCACCCGCAGTTTACAAACAAAAGCAGATCGCATTGCGTCAAAACATGGGTCAGTCCTCGCCCAAAACAAAAAGAGATAATTAGCCGACCAGTCTGCCTGCCTTGGCAACGAGGCGCTGCTGTACCACGGGTCTTTGCATCTTAATCTGTGGTTCGTGAAACCCGCGGCCCGATCACATTTCGATTTGCTGTTTATTTAACATCGCTGTAAATATCTCGGATTGTATAGAGTCTTTTATTTATTTATTTATTTAGTGTTCTGTCTGACGACAGGTCCATATGAACAGGATCCTTCCATCCTTTTCTCGGACTGGGACCTGTTCATATACGTTCTTGGCAGATGATCCAGAAGTGGTTTGCCATTG